ACTAGGTGGGGAAGGAAAATATATAGACACAAATCACTAATGGAACGTTATGGCACTGAGAAGACACCCCAGAAAGGTTAGGGTGAGGCTATCCATAGCTTAGTCAGATGCTGTTAAACTCGATGAAAAGCAAATAAGAATATCCAATTTCCCTACACACTAATCAACAGTCCAAGTGCTTTCTAACAGCCACATGTGGTTAGTGGCTACTACACTGGGCAATACTGGGTTTAAGAATGTTTTCTAGAATTGGGCCGTGGAAAGGATAAGAAAGGTTAAAGCATGAACAAAGGCACAGAGGTGTATAATTAAGCAGCTTGACTCTGGTGGAGTGAGGACACAACAATTTAGCCTGGAAGCAGAGAGGGGCACAGGTTTGGTGCTGGACCAAAGCCCTGCTCTTCCACAAACTATTATCATTGGGACCTTTCTGCTACTGCCTTACATTTCTCAGTTGAGTAACAGCCATAATGGCCCTTGTTGTGAAAAGTAAATGAGTCTACACATGTAGTATTTTTAGGACAGTACAGGTCAGTGGACAAGAGAGGATAGAGAATGTACCAGGTCAAGGCCTGGGGCTCCTTCCTAAGGGAAGAAGCCAACAGTTAACTCCTAGGGGTGACAGGGTGAGGGTAGGGGCATAGTGAGGTGGCCAGGAAGGAAGAAAGGACTCTGGCTTGWCTGTGTAGCTCTTGCTCCCCCTTCTTTGAAGAACCGTCAACTCTCCCCATGGTTCTCAGCCCCCATTTCTCTCAGCACTGTTTTGCCACTGTTATAAATGGTATTCCTTCTCCAGGTAGAGAGTTCCCTCTGCTCCCAGAGGCTGGTGTCCGCAGTAGAGTGGGCTGGCTCTCAGTGCATGTGGATGGAGCTGGACAAAGCCAGGCTGATCCAGCAAGCACTTCTTTCTTTCAGGTGGACATCGCATCAGGGATGGCCATTGAAGGGATGTGTTATGCCCAGGTATGTGTCTGTTGCTAGTCCACAAACACTTGTTAGCGGACGGTGGGCCAGACTAGGGGAGCCTTGGGTGATACATGACCAAGCAAGAAGCCCAAACAGTCTGACTCTAAGGTATTTCCAGGGAAACCCATTAAGACTGTTTGTTCAACTACCTAATGGTGGTACATTCTGCCCAGTTAGTGCCCATAGAATTATAAGAGACCACACAGGGGCTGGGGTTGTGGCTCAGAGGTAGAGCGCTTGCCTGGCATGTGTGAGGCACTGGGTTCGATCCTCAGCACCGCATATAAAGAAATAAAATAAAGATCCATTAACAACTAAAAACTATTAATAAGTGAGAGAGAGAGAGAGAGAGAGAGAGAGAGAGAGAGAGAGAGAGAGAGACACCGACCACACAGGTACTTGACAAAGAGAAAGAATGGTTTCTGCTGTCCCTATACCAGTCACCACTATAGGGGCAAGGCTGGAGTTAGGGTGTCAGGCTTGGTTAAAACCTACAGACTGTGCCCAATGCAGGGGCTATAAACCTGAGCCTGACCTATTTGGCTTGAATCTTGGGTGAGTAAAATATGCTGGTTTTCAGGAAAATATCAAAATCCTCTGAAACAGGGTGTTGGGGCTGGTATAACCTAGTGAGAATTATACTGCTAGACTTCTTGCTGCAAGCAGCCTCCTCACACTGCTACAAGAGGTGGTGACYTCTCTGCAGGCATGTGCATATAGTACACAAGAGGTGCCCATGGTGGGCAGGCACAGGTGCCAGAGGCTCCCCTGTCTTCTCYAGGAGACCAGGAATCCAAGATCCAAGTACAGAAATAATGGAAACATTTGGACCCTGGCCTTGTTATGGGTGGACAGGCTTAAGCAGCTGTTTGGCCTCTGGCTCTGCTTCCCCAAAACTAATATTCTATACACTGTTGCAGAATATCCCAACCCAGGACCGGCTGGAGGGCATGGCAGCCTTCAGGGAGAAAAGGCCCCCAAAGTTTGTTGGCAAATGACATTTAACCTTAAGTATAGGACATGCATGCCTTGAGCAAGATCCAGATGGAAAGTTTGCAGCAGGATGACCCTCATCACTTCACCTCTTTGGCCTTCAGTTTCTTCACAAGAATGATGATGGACATAAAATGGGTAGGGTTGTGCCTGATACCAAGGTGCTAATCACGTGTCTACTGCCACCTTCCTTATTACTCACATTGGCTACATAATCATTAGTATTGGATTTACTTTGGAGAATCCCTGGCTTTCAGTGATCAGGTACTWACTAGAGTCAGCAAGGGGTTTTAAGAAGGCCCTCGTTTTTTCCTCTGGAAAAGAAAGAATAAATAAATCCTAGTATTGATTGAACATTGTATCAGGAGTTAGACTGCCAATTCCAGCTTGGACACTTTCTTGCTATATGACCTTGGACAAACCGTTTAGCCTCTATAGGCTTCAGATTCCTTTTCTATAAAATGAATCTGTTGTGAAGATTTAAAAACCCTCATGTTCAGGGCAGGGATTGTTGCTCAGTGGCACTTGCCTAGCATGTGTGGGGCACTGGGTTCAATTCTCAGCACCACATAAAAATAAATAAAAATAAAGGTACTGTCGTCTATTTACAACTAAAAAAATTTTTTGTAAAAACCCTCATATTCAAAATATATGTTGTAATACTTGGTGAGAACAAGTAAAATCACTGCTCTGAAAGCATTTTATAAACTACAGAATGACACGAAGACTTCTCCGGGCCTTCAGTAGCACAGAGAAGAGAGCAGTTAATTCTGATGAACAGAAGGGAAAGTTGGGAAATGAGCAGGCAACCATGGAAGATGAGCCTGGAGGAGTAGGCATTTGAATAAGAGGAAGGCTGAGGGCTGGGGATATAGCTCAGTGGTAAAGCATTTGCCTAGTAAGCACAAGGCCCTGGATTRAAACCCCAGTACAGGGAGGAGGTAAAAAACCATCAGGAAGGTTGATGGGAACAGCATGGGCAAAGGTGAGCAAGAGGATAACACACTTGGAAAATAAAGGGGTTGGGGGAGACCTAGTATTCATGAATCCACACTAGTCTCAATACCCTTCTCCTCCTCTTCTACCAAGGTGACCTCATGGTCATCCTATAACTGGCTGAGCATTCTTAGCACATAACTCTGGCCCAGAGTCACTAAACACTGGCAGGGACACATACCACTAACAGTGCTACTTGCTGCTAAATACAAATGTGCCAAGGTTATGTGTGTGTCCTGGTACGAAGAACAGCATAGAGGAGTTGAGTCCTTAGAATCAGCACCAGCCTCACCAGGTGAATGACCACTCAGGAAAGTAACAACCTTTCTGAACTTCCTTTTTCTCATGTGTTAAGTGAGGAGAATAATTTATGTACCCCAGAAAATGGCTGTGAAAGAGACAAAACTGGAAGGGTATCTGGTGCACAGTTGGATCTCAAAAGATACTGGTTCCTGGGCTGGGGATGTGGCTCAAGCGGTAGCGTGCTTGCCTGACATGCATGTGGCCCGGGTTTGATCCTCAGCACCACATACCAACAAAGATGTTGTGTCCGCCGAAAACTAAAAAATAAATATTAAAAAATTCTAAAAAAAAAAAAAAAAAGATACTGGTTCCCATGACAAATCCTTTAGCAAAAGTTAGCATCTAATAACACAATGTTCCAAGGTACTGGAAACTAGATCAAGAAACTCKAAGACTATTTCTAGAATCATGAAGAAGAGTGAGTGTGAGATAAAGGGTGCAGTTTGAAGAAGGATTAGGTTACAAATTACACTTATCTGCGAGGAAACTGGTGAGTAAGAGTATGTAATGTGTTTTAGAGTAACTAAAAACGACATACTCAATGAGTCCCAAAGATGGCACACAATACTTCAATTAAGAGGTAAATCCAGCTAARAGCACAAAACTCTAGTCTTAAAATATGCTAATAATCAAACAGGAATTTAGTTTAGTTATTTGAAAACTTAAACAGAAGGGTTGAGAATATAGCTCAGTAGTAAAGTACTTGCATAGCATGCGAGGCCTTGGGTTTGATCCCTGTTATGGGGGAATAAAAAYGAAAACTTAAGCAGATGAATGACAAAGCAAATTCATCAGTTGTCAATAATAAGACAAGGAAGGAATTCATACTTTATTCCTCAGAGCAGCTTTGAAGACAAAACAAACAAAAGCTTCTGATAGAGTTTATGCTGTAATTGAGGCTTGATTTCAGAAAAGTGATCCCTTTGACTCCATGCTGAGTAAGAGCACCCATAAAAATGTATCAGAAAAGGCCAAAAAAAAAAAAACCCCAAAAAACTATAAAATATATATTCTTTTCCCTCTACCTCTCAAATGGAAAGTACTCTAATATCTGTGGGGGGGGGGGGATAAAAAAAGAAAATCTTTTCTCCCCCTTCCAACAGGTTCTGTTTTCTAGATATTTTCTCCCATCTCTTGAGGACTGAGGATTGAACCCAGAGGTTCTTTACCACTGAGCTATATCCCCAGCACTTTTTCTTAAATTATGAGAAAGGGTCTCACTAAGTTGGCCAGGCTGGYCTTAAACTTGTGACCCTCCTGCCTCCTCCTCCTAAGTAGCTAGGATTCAGGTGTGCACCACTGTGCCTGGCCAAAAAAAAAACATTTCAAAACATATTATTTCCCATCTTCATATACTTCTTTTCTGGTAGCTTCACATACCAGGAATAACAAATGAGGGAATTTAACATAAATACCAAATTTCCCTGTAGGTCTGTCCTTCCTCTTCCCAGCAAAGAGGTCCTGTTTCACTGACAAACTCCCCAAAGTGGAAAAACTGTTGAGGGTCAGAGAAAACTAACATAGCTATTCCAACACAAGCTCCCAAGTCTCCCCACGAAGTCCACAATAACTGGTTTTTCAACACTACTGCTAAAGAGGTTTCCATAAAATGATTCCAACTTGATTAGGGATTATGACTAGCATGTAAATCTAACTTTTTTATAATTTACAGAAAATCAACAAGAAAGGTCAGTGAGACACCTAATACACAAACACCAACAAACACTTTCAACATTCAGTTACTGACAGGGAAGGAAGACCTGGTTTCGAGGAGCAGAGCGCACCTTGGAAGCCCTCAGATTAAGAAGGGTCTTCAACTCAGAGGGAGACTCATGAAATTCATGAAATGCATCCTGAAGTCCTCTAGAATGGAAGTTGCCATCTGCTGTGCTTGAGGATTTGCCTGACTGTGCTCCTGGATATCATACAAAAGCTGCAATCCTCCTTCTTCAACTAACATTTTGCAGTATTTGCTAGCTAAAAGAAAATGAAAGACAATCTGTAGACATCCAGCATTTTAAATAATCCCAAATCACCATATTCACCTTTCTAAAGAAAGAGTATAGTCAGATACAGAGCCACACATCTATAATGTGACTCAGAATACTGAGACAAGAGGATCATAGTTTGAGGCCTGCCTTGGCAACTCAGCAAGGCCCCAAATTTAAATTTTTTTTTTAAATTTTTAAGGAGGGCTGGGGATGTAGCTCAGTGGAAGAGCACCTCTGGATTCAATCCTTAGTGCCCCTGCACACACACAAAAATACACACAAAATATAAAGGTTGAAGCCCTTTGGACCAGGAATCAATAGTTAAAATGAGTCAATTTCAGGGTAATCTGTAAAAATTTAAATAATACTTGGTTTGTATGAGAAAATAGATGATCATCTTATTATGTTTATATCCAGATAAATAAAAAAAGATGTCTAAAGCATAGTTATGTTTTAGTTGTAGATGGACACAATATCTTTATTTTTATTTATTTTTTTTAATGTAGTGCTGAGGATCGAACTCAGAGCCTCAGGCATGCCAGGCAAGCTCTCTACCACTGAGCTACAACCCCAGCCCTGCTTCAGACATCTTTAATCTTAACTTTTATTTTATTTTTTTTTTTTTTTTAAGAGAGAGTGAGAGAGAGAGGGGGACACAGAGAGAGAGAATTTTAACATTTATTTTTTCTTAGTTCTCGGCGGACACAACATCTTTGTTGGTATGTGGTGCTGAGGATCGAACCCGGGCCGCACGCATGCCAGGCGAGCGCGCTACCGCTTGAGCCACATCCCCAGCCCCTAATCTTAACTTTTATTAAGGCGGGGGGCACTAGGGAAGAATAGCATTACTTAAGATTAGGTAGAGGGAAGTGATGGGAAGGAAGGAAAGGGGGTGTGGGGATAGAAAAGATGGTAGAATGAAACAGACATTATTATTGTATGTATATATGTGACTGCATGACCAATATGATTCTGCAGCAAGTACACTCAAAAAATAAGAAATTATATCCCATCTATGTATGATATATCAAAGTGTATAAATGCACTCTACTGTAATGTATAACTAATTAAAASAAATAAAAACKTAAAAAAAATAAAAGCWAATTTAGCCATGTACAAAGGCACATGCCTGTAATTCCAATTACTCAAGAGGTTGAGGCAGGAGAATCACAAATACAAGGTCCACCTGGGCAATTTAGCAAGACCCTATTTCAAAATAAAAAAATTTTAAAAAGGGCTAAGGGTGTAGCACAGTAGTAAAGCACCCCTGTGTGAAATCCCCAGTATGGACAGGAAAAAAAAAAAAGGAGGATCAAACTTCTTTTTTTACAAAAATACACACTTTAAGTTAAGGCAACATGCTGAGCAAAATAACATATTGGTTTAAAAGTTTTTTTGGCATTTTAAATGCATGAATGAATGTACAAAGAAAAGGAATTTTTCAGAGTCAGAATGAAAGAGTAGAATTAAGCTCACATAAGCCAACCTACTATTAACCTGGAGCAGAAAGAGATTGTAGGTCTTAACAATCTAGGAATTTAAATTTTAACTTATAAAATCAGAACATAAAGTTGGTCCCTCAAAGGGCAAGACATGAGAAGAATCTTGGTTTTTATTTAGGGGTACAGGAGAGGGAAAAGAGAAGTCTTTCCTGAAAATGCAAAATCACAGTCCCAACTAGTCTGAATTTTACTACCTGAATGTCACTGGGAAAATTAATGTAAAGGGTGGGGATATGGCTCAGTTGATAGAGTGCTTGCCTCCCATGCACAAGGCCCTGGGTTCAATCCCCAGCAACACACACACACACACACACACACACACACACACACACAAAATTAATGTAAAAATCTGCCCAACCCTAGGGAAACCTCTGAATTACTTCACAAGTGCAAATACAAAACTATGCTGAAGGAATATGTTAATTTAGTATTAAAAAAAAGTGAGCTCATAGGTTCTGGGGTTGTGACTCAGTGGTAGAGTGCTCGCCTTGCATGAATGAGACCCTGGGTTCGATCCTCAGAACCACATAAAAATAAATAAGTGAAATAAAGTTATTGTGTCCAACTACAACTAAAAAATAAATATTAAAAAAGTGAGCTCACAATCAAAMACTACAAACATGAAAATCAAGCCTCATTCAACATGCACACAACAAGATGATCAGAT